TCCACCCTCCCTCCCCCCAAAAAATAAATTCAGGCCTTCAGACATAAGATAAGATAACCTTTATTTGTCCCACACTGGAGAAATTTAGAGTCTCCAGCAGCAAAATTTTTTGGGGGGGACAAAGTGTTTCATTGCACAAAATAAATGAACGCATGAAAACATCTGAGGCATTCAAGACTTGCACGTTAAATGGGGGGAGGAAAAAAATTGCTGACCAATGCGATTGGAGTTTGTCAAGTATTCACTTAGTTTGGATTAAAAATTAGACCCAAGCGAACTTGCTGAGTGTGTGTTTAAGTCAGACCAGTTATTATATAATTCAGCTGTAGATAATTGTGCAAAATGAACATGAAACTAATTTGTATAGTTCTCAACTAGACTGGGACACTGGAGCAATAACAGAACATTTTTCTATACTCGAATTGAGACACAAGAGGACTCGCCCTCTTACATTTCTCCAAATGCTTCTTCAATTAAATACACTTCAGACGGATTGGAATTAGGGTTGTCCTATTTATTTTGTGACATTACTGACGAGAGAAAGCATCTTTTAGATCAGCGTCTCCCAACCTTTATTGAGTCAAGGCACCCATTTTACATTACAAAAATCACACGGCACACCAAACAAAAATATCACTGAATGAAATATAAATTGAAATGATCTCATCTCAATTTACTAATGAATTTACCTAGCCCGGCTAACTGAGCACAAAGCTGATAAATTCACAGAAAGCCATTACTGTTGTATTCATGGCAGCAGGTGGATGGATACCCAGGTTTCTTCTACCTTTTGCCATATGATAGAAGAGCATTTCATTTTTTTTCTGTCACGATAGGCCGCTGACATAGAGGAACAAAGATGAATTTTTAATCAATAATTTTGAGTCAAATGAAATGAGATTTTCTCTTTATAGCACCCCTTGTGATCATACAGCACCCTGATTGGGAATCACTGCCCAGTGTAGATAAAAGGTTTTGCACAGGTCGTACAAATGCTGTATACTATGCACTGAAAGCGCTATGCTTACTCTCATACTTGGATACAGTCACACTAGACAACGGAGTCGTGATCTTATTGGTGATTATTTAGGAAGTGATGTGCACTATACGACACCAAGTCAGCTTGAGTTCTTGTGTTAAGTGGGCCATGCTGCTACAAGACAAATACTGTAGTGTATACTACACGCTCAGTTCCATTTTTTTTTTTTAAATAAATGTGTTTTACACTTTTTTCATCAAGCCCCTAACTTCTATGTAGGCCCACTAATACCCCCTTTGTACATAATTTTCTTATTGATACACAAAGCAAATCATTTTAAACAGCCCAGAGACATGTGACATTATCTTGGAAAAATTCCAGCTTCAAAAATAAACGGAAAATAAAATGAATTTGAAAGAATTAGCATCACAAAATTAATTTATTCCAAGTAAAAATACAAAATAATATATTATGAATTACATTGACCAGATATGAACGTCTCCCCCAATAAATCTTAAGGGTTGAGAAATAAATCTGTGAAAGCAAATATAAAACAACGTTTGTCTTTTTTTTTATCTCTTACAAAAACAATGTAAAATGAAATGAAAAATAAAAATAGTGAAAACGTTCTCGGTACAAAGGCTACATACTACTGGAAGGTACTAGCAGGTAGTCGGTAAATACACAGTAGAAAATTATTTTTGTGAATCACAATGAAAATAATTCTGCAATAAAGATTTATGCCAGTTTTTTTTTCTTTTTTACAAATAGTACAAACAGTATTGCACATAACAACAAAGAGGTTATTAGCTTCAGAAAGGAAGGAAAGGGGACAAATTCAAGTGTTGCATGAGCAAAAGGCCACCACTCTTGATACACCTTGGGGACTTTCGGTCAAGTTGTCTGCTTTATGTTTAAATAACATTCTTTTCTTGCAGCCGCCACTCATTTTTGCCACGAGGCCAAGCTAGCATCAGGGTTTATGGAAAACATACAAACAAACCAACCTACAAAAACAATTCGAGCATGTATTTAAAAAAAACAAAACAAACAGAAAACCTCTTTTATAACCAGAGACAACATAGTAAATAGGTGATTATAAAGACACAAATAGTGGCAACAAAAGAAATGTTTCTTCTTGATATTTTTCGACATGACCGCTAACTAGTCTCACACAAACCCAACATTATATTTGGTCTAACTAATTCTGCTGTCTCTCTATATATATATATATATATATA